TGTGAATGCTGCAGATCCCAGCCATACACCACCAGCAGCTCTGGCCAATCTGCAGGAACATGGCAACATTTATGTGCATACAGGTTTCCATCTGCATCATAAACAGAGCTGAAGTCTGAAAATTACACAAGTGAGAATTACCAAAAATTTAAGCACAAAAATACAAAGCAATAACCATAATTAAAAAGTAACATTTTAGGATAGGAAGCTTCCATATAAAATTCCAGTGCCTTAAAATATTTCTGAGTAGAAAATGTTTTCTCACAATTTCTCAGTATTTCTTATAAGATCAATGATTTATACAGGTACAATAACTGTACCTGTGTTTAAGAGAATTTCACTACAATGACCACTACTATAAAGGCCAACTTTGTTCACATACAACAGGTTTCCATCCTAGTTATTTTTTATGCATTAGAGTACTTCAGGTCCAACTTCTTCAATTTCTCCACTGAGTAATTTCAACTCCCATTTCTACACAGAGCACTGTAATCATCACTGCTGGATTCAACACTAAAGATAAAATAAACCTAGAGTACAAAACAAGATGGCAGGAAAGCCATTAAAGAGGTTTTAGCAGACAAAAGCAGTACATGCACATGTGCTTGTCCTTCCTAAAGTAATGAAAGCCTTTCATCTAAAAGTGCAAGTAGCCGGAAAGAAGTTGAGTACTGAGTGAAATTTTTTTGGCATCCGGTGGCACTGTTACTGATGTAAGGCTGAACGGCAGCAGCACATTGTTCCAAGCAAGAACCAGAGCTCCTGGAACGTGCTGCAATGCTCCAGGAAGGAACATTAACAAGTAGATAACTCCTCCTTTTAGGGCTAGTAAGCAGGTTTTGGCAAAAGTTTGAATGCTATTGTGTTTTCAGCTTTGATTTTCACCTGCGTCAGTGGAGCTTTTATTTCCTTCAGGGAACATGCTACTGATGCACAAAATATCATCATTTCTGCCATTACTGTAAAAATTACAGAAAAATAGGCCCCTGAAAAGGACCCTAAAGCAAAACACAGTATGCTGAGACAGGCCATCAGGAACAGGATTTCCAGAACAAATACCTGGCTCTTTACTATCTTTTGTCATGTATTTTTAACCTAGGTGTGGTACAAGTTTTCCCTCCCTCACCAAAAGAATCTTGAACTTCTGGCACATCTGGGTTTCATAGTTATTTCTCCATTAATACCTACCTGATATTTGAAGTTACGATGCCTTATTATTTAAGCAACAGAGAAGCGAAAACTAATTGGTATTACATAGTTTTTCTGGCTACTGCAAGTTCCACTTAATCCATCAAATTATTTTCATTATTCTTATCAATAAACTGCAGTTCTCTCCACTGGAAAGCAGAAGTAAGAATCCATTAGTAAAAATTAGTAGAGTAGCATACACAGGTGCCACAAATGTATCACAGACCAAATATAACTAGCAAACATACCTTGGTATTCTAACTAGCATAACTCACATTCACATTTTCCAAGTCTCTTCAACTGAGGCTTCTCCCTCTTGAGAAGTGCCTTTGTGGTCATTGTAATTTAATTCCTAAAGGAGAAACAGCACATGACCTAGTATTTGTTGTGTTAACAAACAATGGAATAAATTAAATCCTTTCATACCAATGCATGGAGAACACAACCCTGGTATTTAAGGATAATTTCTGTATTAATCTGCAGAATGAAATTCCTGGCAGAGTGCAGCAGCATGCAGCGGAGGCTAATTGGTGTAATTATATTGCCACAGGTACAAAACACCTACTCAGACACACAGACCTAGTACATCTGCTATGAAAGTAGTATGGCAATGGCCATGAGACAAATACTATAGTCCTGCATTTCATCTAGCACTTAAGTGTCCAATGTGCATTTCAGCTGTTTATTTATAAAATTGATTGAAGAATAAACACTACCTCCAGAGCTAAGGACAACAGGCTGTAGTTGATACCAAAGGCCAAGTTGTACAGAAATTGTCCACTGTTGGATTACATCCTCATAACATTATCCATGTTCTTTCAATCCGCTACAGCCAGTAACCCACTTGCAGGCAATATTTGAAGCACTTGGATTGCAAGTATGTGAAAGGGACAGAGAGGTAAATTTAACGTAGATTGCAGTTAGAGAAATTGCCCTTGGACAACAGAAAGTAGTTTCTGTGTTTCTTCATGCACACCAAATTAAATTACTTAATCTCTTTATAAACCAGCTCATTCATTTCACTGGAGGATTTTTCCACTACTAGTCAAGAGTTGTCCTTTCACTCCAAGATCTCTATTAACCAAACAAAAGGAGGAAGTGACCAAACTATGACAATGCAGGAAATTTAATGACATATGACAATTAACTCCAATTCAGCATCACTTCCTTTTGGCCTTAGTATCACCTTTCTCTGCCCTTCTCGTTTTTGTATAGTATGTTTATTACTCTGCAAGGACTCACTGGATTTTCACCTGTTATTTGCTGAATCTTTAATCTAGGCTCATTGCAGGAAGACAATTTCAAGTAAAAAAGTATTCATGATCTCAGCAGGGCTCTTCATGTACCCCATGGGACCAGCTGACAGTCATAAGGCACCAGCAGTCAGAACTCTTTAGGGAGCACCTTCAGTTCCAGAAAGAGAGTTACTCTTTTTTTGTTGAGAGTACTTTTCTCTCCAGGAAGAATAAAGCAAAGGCTTCTTGCAGACAATACTACTTATCTGCCAGGAAAAATTTGCTTTGCTACATCTCTGCAAGCAGTGTTAAACAGAACCTTCAAACCAGCCAGCTGGCACACAGTGATCAACATATACCCCTTCTCAACACAGAATCTGTGGTGCTCTTTTCTCATTCCACCCAGTGGAATACCTCTTCATACCTCTTCAGCATCTGAGGAGTTCAGTGTTCCTCTCAAAAATTCAGCTCTACTTCATTTGTTCTGTTATACCTTTTTACTACCTTCACTGTGCTTGCAACACTGACTGCAGAGTTCCCCGAGCATGAAGACACATACACAGGCTTTACATGTGCTGAACTTCCACCCCACTCTTCCTCTGGGGACTAACACTCTCTAACTTTCTTCAGAATCACTAATATTAGGCTATCAGTCTATGTCAACTTTGTGGTTTCAATTGCATTGATTTTCCCCATCTTTCTTCATTTATGAAAACGACATAAATTACTCTCATACGTAATCTGTTTAATACTGTTTTACTGAGTGACTTTTCTGCCCCATATAATTACAGGTACCTAGTTAGCCACTATAGCTCAGAGTCCCTGAAAGTTCACGAAGTTTTAACTGCATCTTAAAAATTTTTACAGAATTATCAAGTCCTAAATTTGATTTTAAGAAATCCCTTCTGACTAGGTCTCCTGGCTTTGATCCTTTCATTATTGCAAATATGTGTTTGAAGTAGATGGTCTCCAAAATGCCTTAGTATTCCATGATTAATCTTCAAACATAATTTTTCAATTATAAGACAACGTATTTCCTTAATTTTTCCAGCACTACTTGAAGTATTTAATCCATGTGTTTCATCTATAACTCTCCTAATAACAATAAGTACTGCATTAAAAATCTGCTCATCCTGACTCTGCTCTTTGCCTCTGCAGTTTTTTCTGAGCTCTAAAATACCTAATTAAGTAACCTGCTTTTTCTTTATCAATACAATACTTTCTAATACTTTCTAATACTTTCTTTTCTCTTATGCAGATATCAGCATTTCAGTACCAAAAAGCTTTCTTGTTGACCGTTTAACGAAACTGATTCTCTTGACATAATCAATTATAGCCAGTTAGTACTGACTTCTGGTAATCACAGGAAAACCCTAACTTGACTTATTCAATGTCTGCTCAGCAGTTCCCAGAAGAAATATGGACAGAACACAACACATTACTGTGGGTTTTGGGTTTATTTATCCAAATAATCTATCCATCACAAGATGGATAAAGGCCAAAAAGGGTTTCCTGGGCTTCACATGCTCCACCAAGAACAAACTTAGAAAATAAGGTGGAAGCTACAAGACTTGAGAGACACGTTTTTATGGAAAACAAGTATTTCCATTTCAATGTCTTTGGTTTCCAAACAGTGAACTTGCAATGAAAAGTACCAAATCCCACTTAATAGTAAAATCGGTATAAAACCCCCTAATATGCACATTAAAATTCCTTTGTTTGTTTTGACAGCACATTTATATACAGGAGAAAAATACTGGGCCTGTGCGACACTGGAGAATAACAAAACCAACTTTGTTCAAGAGTACAAACTTCATGCTGATAATGGCCTCAAACACACTATGCTGTACAGACCTTGTCCCACTTAGCTTGGCTGTGGCTGATGCATAAGAGGTCTATATGTGATCATTGTTACATGGGATCCTTATATTCAATATTAAGGCAAATTTCTTTCAAAATAAATAATTTACCTACCTAATGTGAGACTGGGTCTTCTAAATTACATTCTAAGACAATGGTTACATATTAGCAAACACAATTCTCTTTCTGTAGATCTTACCCAAATTTTGAGCAACACAACAGCTGCTGAAAGGTAAAGATAGAGAATGAGTTGGTCTGGAATTTAATGGGCTTCAAATAAATGCATACATATGGGTTTTTTGTTTGTGCTCAAAAGTCTGTTTCTCCAATTTTTCTGCAAGGATTAAGGCACTACAAACTCCTGCACCTCCAGTAGAGTCTTGGGGAACAAAGAGGTCTGACACCACAAAAGTATTATGTACATAAGTCATTAATTTGACTGTGACAGCTTTTAACATTCTTCCTTTCTACACTACACACATACACACACAAAAAAAAAAAAAAAAAACTACAGAAAGTTGTCTACATACAGCCACACATCGACCTTCAAATAATCCTGGGTTTACATGAAAAACCTTGGGTTACCTTTAGGAATGAGATCTTATTTTAAGAACAAGGTGTATATATACACAGTATCAGGACCATCACTGATACTGATTGCATTTCCCAGTGAAATTATGCAGCATGAAATCCCAAAAGAAATTCAATTAAAGTATCTTTAGCAAAACGTAGAAACTTTAATTTACATGCAAAACTACAACATATTCATAATAAAAAACTGGTGACCAAACAAATTAAACACAATTTGTAAAAACTGTGCACATTGCTAAATAGGTCTGTACAACCAAAGATTTACAAAGTCCCTGTGCATTTTTATCTTTTCAGTGTACAACTGAGTTTAAAGGTTCAGCTCGAATATTCCCCAAGTCAAGAGCAGAATCTGTCTCTTCATCAATTTCACCAATCACAGCACTGCAATAAAAAAAAGAGATCAGGTTATTTGTTGAAATCAAATCACACAGTTCTAAAACAGAAGCTGTATTTTTTCTTTTAACAAGCCTTACTTCCTGTTGATCTATACCAACTTCTGATTGATGCTATTTATTCCATGAAAGCTTCTAGTGATGCACACTGGAATGCTCAAAGTACTTTGTGCCATGTACTGTTTCTTTCATTTTTCAACAGCTTCCTTATTTCATGAGAGTTCCCTATTTTGAAGTTACTGTCACTTAGCTGTTGATTCTTTTTACTTCTTCCTATAAGGACACTGAATTTCAGCATGTTCAAGAGTTGCATGAATACTAATTATTATTTGTAATAAATATGTTTGAGTTTGTTAGGATTGCAAAAAAAATGTATTTCACAGAAGCATATTTTGAATATATTTGAGTAATGTGGCTGTATGATGATGTCTTTCATCATACATTTCAACTCTATGATGAAACAGTGAAGTAGTAAACCATTATTTGCTGTTTTATACAATTTTTACTACCTGAATGAAAAGCTACTGGTATAGTGGTATGCATAGTCCCACCTTTGTACATGTGTCAAATTACTTTTTCTTAAAAGTTTAAACTGAAAGTGATGAAAGTATTCAGAATTATCCACTTGCACCTAGATATCAATTTAAGCCCTGGTGTTTTGTTGTACAGAAGCATCCATTAGAATTAGAAGATGAAAATTCCTATAGAGATTTATGTCTTGGCCACTGCAACACACTTTTTCCAGCTGTGATAAAAAAATAATCTTACTTTTGCCATCAGTTTCACAATGCTGCTGCAAAAGTAATCTTCCCAGCTGGCCCGCTTACCAGGCCTTCTTTCCACTTCTCTGGTAACCCTCCCATGGGTTTGGCACACCAGCTACTTTTCTCTGCACTCAATGAGCTTCCACCCTCATTTAGTAAGGGAAGTTTACATCAAATACCAACTCATACATTTGACTCGTCATTACATTGGCTTCAACACTTGCTACACTGTCAAGTCAGAACCTTCAAGGATTTTCCAGATTATAAAGTTCTCTCTGCAAACATCTGCTCTAAAGAAAAAAAATATCCAAACTGTTGGAAGTAAACTTTGTATACCAAATTGCTGACTTTTTGTACACAAATTTTATCTCATTTTTTAGTGATTATTCTGTCTTTTCCTTCACCATCTCCCAGCCTGTCCTTGTAGGAGAGATACTCCAGCACAGAGATCATCTTCAATCTCAACAATGCAATCACTTTTACAGAAGTGTAGACGTTTGCTCTTTAATACAGAATCACAGTTGTTTGTTTGGAAAGATCAAGTCCAACCATTAACCTAACCCTGCCAAGTCCACCACTGAGCCATGTCCCTAAGTGTCACTTCTACACATCTTTTTAATACCTTCAGCTTTGACAATACTTTCAGTGCTACCCACAAAGATGCAAGGTGTGTGGGGCTATGAAGATTTATACAGATTATGGATATATAAATATACACACACACAAACATGTGCATCCACACACAAAGTCTGTACGAAAGGATTTAAACAAGAACATGCTATACTTACACGTTATCACCTCTTACAATGTATAAGCCCAGCACTACTTGCTCAACTCCTTGTGAAGAACTGAACACTCGTTCATGGCTTTCATCCAAAATCAAGTTTATGGTCTGATCAAAACCTTTGAGTGTTCCCTGAAAAAAACCACAAAAAAACACACTGCCATTACCCTTAAAATTCTTCCCCTTTGCTGTCAAGGACGTCTTAAACAGAGTGGCAAAATAAAGGTACTAAATAACGGATGTTTTATTCAGGTTTTATTCTTTGGTTTAAACACAAAAGCTAAAGAATGAAATTTTAAAAGCAATAACCAATTTAAGAAAAGCACCCTAGTATTACTGTGTGTTCATGCTAAAAGACAATACGCTTAAGCATTAAAAAAGTAAATTTTTTATTTTATCAATGATGTTCCTCTATACAACCAATTTTACTATTTCCACACTGGTTTTTTGTATGGACATTTCCAGAAGTTAAAAAAATATCAAATAAACAAAAAACAGAAAAGTTGGATTCTTGTGGTCAACAAGCAATTTTTAAGGGGCATCTCTTTGAAGGAGATTACTTTGTGTTTACTAAATTATTATTTTTTAATACATTAAAAAATACAGGATTTTGTGGCAATTAAGTACATGTTTGGAAAATTTTTAACATAAATTTACCATCACTAATTGATTAAGAAATTCAAACTTACATAAAACAGCCCTTGAAACAGTCATAATATTCGTTTATATCATCTAACAATGAGTCATATATACCAACTCCATTCCAATCTTTATTGATAGGAGTATCTTGTAGCACACACACAGATTTTATCAGACTGACTTCAGCCAAGCAGATTTGGTGAAGCCAACAGATTTCTGTTTTCTCTTTCCAGAGGCTGCACAAAGCTAAGTGTAGACAGAAAGATACAATCCTCTTGCAACAATCATACTATTAAGTTATACTGAAAACACAAAAGAGTAAAAGATGGGGGGATGCAATGCAAGGAAAGAAAACCCAGTACACAGAAGCAACAAAACAAAAATATTATACAGTCTAATATATTAAATTGGCCTGTCCTCAGGTTTTCAGGTACAAACAAAAGCCCACAACACTTCTCCAGCTGATGTTTTTTTAATCATAGGGAAGAAATGGTTTCAGCATGCAAGTTGAAGAGCGTACAGAACAAAGTGAACATTTTAGATAGAAACTAAATTACTGAACAGAAGAGAAATGCATTTTTTGGTGCATTCCCACAAAAAAAGCCATTTGACAAAAAGGCCAGAGCATCCGCACACACAAATTTATCAATGGAAAAAAGCTGATATGACATGCAAGAAACAGTAAGTGTTCATAAAATTATTTTTTAAGCTTTATAGCAATTATTCTATACTATATAATTTAGCAATGTGAGTATGTGAGACTATCCTAACAGAGCTTCTTTATTGCCATGATGTCTTTATGGGGAAAATAAAATGTTTAAAAAAAAAAGTCTTACCACAATCATTCTTCCATCAGAAGTAATTACTGCAACAGTACCTGATATTTCATTAAGGAAACATTTAGTTATATCTGAAATAGAACAATTAACACTTTCTAAAACTTTCATATGTTATACAGGTTTTATGAGCCATTTAGAGCCTAAAAAGCCTATCTGCACTTTTTTTAAAGCAGCATGGTTGACAATAACATGTAACAATACAGTATTTTTCATTAACATCTCTTTGAAAGTTTCTCTTCACCCAACCATTGACAGTCATAAACAAACATGAAAAGCCTTAAAAACAGAATAAAAGATCTGAGCTCACCTCTTCCCATTGCCAACTGCACTGCCTCAAAATGGAAACAACAGTTTCATAAACACTTTAAGACCTTAGAAAACTAATCTTAAAGTCCTTAAAAAGCTCTGTAGTAGTGATCCCGAGGCTAGTATTCTGCATCCCTTCTTCCTGAAGATCGGATTATCTCAATTCGATGATCATATATGCATCATCTTGACTAATTCTGGGTTACTAGCTTACTGTTTGTGAATAAAACGGACAATGTCTGTGGGTTACAAGGAGCACAAAAACCGAGCACCAAAAGCGTTGCAAGAACCCCAACTCACGGGTTTTGAGCAAGTGCTGCGAAGCTGTTATCTAAACGCACGCTAAGAGCCCTTTAAGGGCGCAGGCCCACCGCGAATCCCGCTCATCACGGGCAGAACTCGGCCCGGCAGCACTGGGAGCTGCAGGGGACCCTATTCCCCGCGTACGCTCCGGCCTGCCAGGCCAGCCTCCTGCGAGGAGAAACCACCCCGCCAGGAGGGACAGGCGCGGGCCCAGGCCCCAGAGCCGCGCTGCCGCGCCCCGCCGGGGCCCCGCTCGGAGGGGGCCGGAGCGCGGCGCGCCGTGAGGCGACGCCGGGAGGATACGGTTGATGTACGTCTCCAGCGCGGAGGTCATGGCGGCGGCTCTCAGCGCGGGGCGCCGCGCAGGCGCACAGCCCGGGGCCGCCTGCGGAGCGAGGAGCGCGCATGCGCGGTGGCCCGGAAGTGGCCAGGAGGTGCGGGAAGGCCGTACCAAAGAGCGATGGCAGAGCCGCGTGGGGGGACTGCGGCACCGCCCCCTCAGAGGCACACGGCACCGCCCCTCAGAGACACACAGCACCGCCCCTCAGAGGCACACGGCACCGCCCCTCAGAGGCACACGGCACCGCCCCTCAGAGGCACACAGCACCGCCCCTCAGAGACACACGGCACCGCCCCTCAGAGGCACACGGCACCGCCCCTCAGAGGCGCACGGCACCGCCCCTCAGAGACACACGGCACCGCCCCTCAGAGGCACACGGCACCGCCCCTCAGAGGCGCACGGCACCGCCCCTCAGAGACACACGGCACCGCCCCTCAGAGACACACGGCACCGCCCCTCAGTGGCACACGGCACCGCCCCACCGCCCCCTCAGAGGCACACGGCACCGCCCCACCGCGGCGCACGGCACCGCCCCTCAGAGGCACACGGCACCGCCCCACCGCCCCCTCAGAGGCACACGGCACCGCCCCCTCAGAGACACACGGCACCGCCCCCTCAGTGACACACGGCACCGCCCCCTCAGAGGCGCACGGCACCGCCCCTCAGAGGCACACGGCACCGCCCCTCAGAGGCACACGGCACTGCCCCTCAGAGGCACACGGCACCGCCCCTCAGAGGCACACGGCACCGCCCCTCAGAGACACACGGCACCGCCCCCTCAGAGGCGCACGGCACCGCCCCTCAGAGACACATGGCACCGCCCCCTCAGAGGCGCACGGCACCGCCCGCAGGGACGGCGGGAGGCGCGGCCGGGGCGGGTCTGGTCTGGCGTGGGCGGGAAGGTTTATCCCTGCAGCCGGGGGTCCGCCTTCAGCGCATGGCTGCGCGGTGCAGCGATTCTCTTCGCAGTGGCCGCAGGCAAAGAGCGGAGGTCAAGGAATTATTGTCCACGTGGAGACCAGTGACTGGTGGTGTCTCTCCAGGGGCCGGTACTGGGGCCAACACTGTTCATCTTTATAGGTGACATGGATAGTGGAATTGAGTTCACTCTCATCAGAATTGCTGATGATACCAAGCTGTGTGGTGCCATCGAAATGATGCCATCCAGAGGGATCTGGATAGGCTTCAGAGATGGTCCCATGTGAATCTCATGAAGTTCAGCGAGGCCAAGTGCAAGGTTCTACACCTGGTTCAGGGCAATCCCAGACACACGTACAGGTTGAGTGTGTATGTGATTGAGAGAAGCCATGCAGAGAAAGACTTGGGAGTAATGGCTGATGAAAAACTCAACATGAGCCAGCAGTGTGCACTTGCAGTCCAGAAAGCCAACCATACCCTGAGCTGCATCAAAAGCAGCGTGGGCAGCAGGTTGAGAGAATTGATTGAACCTCTCTCCTCTCGTGAAACCCTGTGTCACAGGTTCTCCCAGCAGAAGGAGGACATGGAACTGTTGGAGCAAGTCCAGAGAAGGGCCACAAAGTTGATAAGAGGACTGGAGCCCCCTTCCTTATGAAGACAGTGTAACAGCTGGGAACGTTCAGCCTGGAGAAGAGAAGGTTGCTTGGAGACCTCATAGCAACCTTCCAGTATCCAAAGGGGTTCTACAGGGAAGTCAGAGAGGGACTCTTTTTCAGGAACTGTAGTGATAGGTCAGTGAGTAATGGGTACAAACTGAAAGAGGGAAAATTTAAGCTAGATTTTAGGAAGAAATTCTTTACTGTGACTGTGGTGAGATACTGGAATACGTTCCCCAGGGAGGCTGTGGATACCCCAGCCCTGGCAGTGTAAAAGGTCACGTTGGGTGGGTAAGGCCTTGAGTAGCCTGGTCTAGTGGAAGGTGTCCCTGTCCATTGTAGGAAAGGTTGAGATTAGATTATCTTCAAGATCCCTTCCAACCTGTAAATTCATATGAGTTTTGCTAGTCTGGGAGCCATGTAATCCTCCCTTGGTTTTCGGTGGGCTGCCAGTGTCAGGTGGGCAGAAAGGAGACCTGACTGCTGCCCTTCCACACAGCCAAGTCCCACACAGCTGCTTACTCAGTGGGATGGGGGAAGGAATTGGAAGGATATAAACTGGAAAATTCTTGGGTTAAGATAAAGACAGTATAATAGGGAAAGCAAAAGCTGTGCACACAAGCAAAGCAAAACACGGAATTAAATCACTGCTTCCTATGGGCAGGTAGGTGTTCTACCTCCAGGAGAGCAAAGCCCCATCACATGTAATGGTGACTTGGGATGTCAAATGCTGTCACTCCAAACATCCCCCCTTTCTCCTCCCCCCTGCCTTATGTACAGAGCATGATGCCATATGGTAGAGAATATACCTTTGGTCAGTTTGGGTCACCTGTCCTGGCTGTTTCTCCTCCCAACTTCCCAGTTTAGATTGTCCCTGTCAGTAGTCCAACTTCCTTTTATTTCAGTAAAAGAGACAAATTGGCAAGAGGTCCAAACTAGGACTTGGTGTCCAGCCCATGGTCTAATTCCTGCAGGGAATACAATTCTGGAAAGGAGAATACTATTGTTTATTCTCCTAGCGTGCCAATTGTTTTCTTGCACACTATTGCAATCTCAACTACAGGGAAAGCAAAATTAATTTTTTTTTTTAGCAAATCAGCCAGCAAAAACAAAATAGATGTTCTTTGGCACCTCTGAAGTTACCTACACCAAAGTAGTCTCTGAAGCATTTGTCTAATGGCTCAGCCTTTATCAGAAACATGACAAGAAATGTCAGAGAACAAAATACTTTTGGAATGGGGCATTACACAATTCTCATCCTCTTAAGCTTTTATTATAAGAAGCTTAACAACTTCCACTAATGGTTACACCAGGACAGCAATAATTATTCTGTATTTCATGTAAGAGGCTAAAGGGTTTTTGTGTGAGGGGTTGACATTTTCCTTTTTATATTTTTCTCTCTGTAAAGAGACATTCTCAAAGACCAAGAACATGAGATCATTGGGATAGAAGGATATAGGATGAAATCTTAAAATACTTGCAGGACATTGCCACAATACCTGACGCCAAGGATCTCCGATCCATCTGTTTATATTAAGAGTGTCCCTGAAAACCAGAGAAGGTTTTTTTTAAAAAAATCACTTTTGTTTTATAAAGGAGGATTAAAACCCAAAGAGTAAGGCCAGACTTCTGAAGTCCAGTGCCCAGGCTTTGCCAAACCGGGTGCTTAAAAGCAGTTAGCATCCTCAGTGTAAAGGAACTCTGAAAAGAGAATTCATCTACTCTTAGGCTCTTCCTGAAAGCAGGCAGCTCAGCCCTTCTTCTTACAGCCCTAACTGAGGTTCAGTCTTCTGTTTGAAGCCACCACTGCTTTTATTCTTTTCTTACAAAACACCCCCACACACAAAGGAAATGGATAAATCTAATTTAAACCCGTATCTCTTTTTGGGAGAAAAAAAAAAAATACTGCCTCTCCTCTTCAGGAGCAAGGTTTGGCAGGCTAAATTACAACTTGGGGGCACAAGTTGCGTTATTTGTGTGGAAGCTGTGCCCGGCGCGGAGGGCGCGGATCCCTGAGGGCAGGCCCGGGGCTGCGGTGCGGCCGCGCGCCCAGCAGGGGGCGCCCCGCGCCTCCGCCGCCGCCGCCCTCAGCCTCAGCGCGGCGCTCGGCGTCCCTCACACGGAAATGCAGTTTTCTGACGCGGAATGAGGTGCGTTTCCCGCTAAAAATGCCTGTGTTTCTCCAGTGCTTACAAAGCGAGCCTACTGTGACTAACTCAGACACGGATGTTTCACAGGTTCACACTTTCATTAGAGCAGACAGATTTTATTTCTGATGACTGTATAACATTGGCAACTGTAGCTAGCAGCCCTTTGCCTGTTCCTTCTCTTCAGTTGCTGCAGAGCTGTCCTTGGGGACGTACTAAGCAATAATAATGCCCGTTAAGCTCTCAGTTGAAGAAACAAAAGACCCTTTTAAAAAAGCTTCATTTTCTCTTACATTGTTTAGCTATAGCTTACTTGCTAATTACATTTGGTCTAGTAATTAAAATCAGTTTATTTCTGCAGATGATTCTCCATATGTTAAGGTTGCTATGGCAAGTGATTGTTCCATGTTATGCTTCCTGCAGAATATGTGACTAACTAATCATTCCCTGTAGTTTCTGCACACTTCCCAGCTTCCTTAAAGCCTGCCAGGGCAGGAAGGATGCCCTGGTACTTGTAAGGTGTGTGCAAGCGGCTGTGTGCAAAATTGTTATCTTGCCTAAGGCTGGTAGAATGGCTGAGTAAATGCTTTGTTGCTAGTCACTGTATGATGCTTATCAGCTTTACATCTCCTAAACCATGCTAGCTGCTGCTGACTGCGCTTTCCTTAGTTACCAGAAGTAGCCAGGTTTTATAGAGCCCGCCATGCTGAAGGGTGAAATGGCTTTGTGATGCTCTCGTGAGAAGAGGGGCCCTGACCGGTACTGCTGTGCCACAGCATGTCAAACCATGTCCCTGTCAGATCAGATCATCAAAAGTGCAAGATTTACTCCTCCAGATTCCTTGGAAGCTGAAAATCTAGTGTAATCAACTGATGACTGTTGGAACAGGAGCTTTAAAGAATTTAATATAACAAAACTCCCCAAATTAGTGACATCTGTCTTCCCGCTCAACAAGAATTGCATCCCTTGGTTGCTACTCAAGAAAAAAATAGCACCTGAGGTAGGGAATAATGGAGTGGTATGTACTGAAGAAGAAGAATCAGGCAGTATGCACTCCACAAGAAAACTAAGCATCCCCAAATCCCACATATTTCATTTACTTAATCCGATAGCCTTTCTAATACTTTCTGGGACTCAAAGTTTTAGATCTCTCCAATTTTCACCTACATGCCCAGAATATCACTTCATAGAAAGAGCTTAGCCCTTTAGTTTGTCTTTAGTTCATACACACCCAAGCTGGCTAAACACGATTGATTATGTGTTCAGGAAAAACAGAAATATCCCTTCGCTTCCACTTTATTCCTCTGAATCTGTAGAGACTTTAGAGCCCATTATTAGCAATGCAAGGACATAGATTTTTTTTTTTTTTCTGGTATCTGCATAAAAGTAGCAAGATCTCACTCATCTCATGCATGATTAGCTGCAGTCTAGGCTGAGAAGTGTTTCATGTATATTATTATATCAAATGACAGGGATTTGCAATGAAACAACCAGAAAACATAGAAAGTTAACAGTCTGAAAAGGATTGGTAGACTGTGAATGTGTTACAATGCTTTAGAAACAAATCTGTAGCATGAGGTCTCAAAGTACTTTTTATTTATCTTTAGAAATTCATTAGCAAACACTTGATCTAAATTTTGTTATGATAGCAACTGCTGCTATGGGAAAAATTTTAAAAAAATTTACTCAAAGTGTTCCTTTACATGAGAAAGTGTGTATTTTCCCCAGCAATTTTTGCTGAAATATGCAAAATACCTTAACAATCTTAATGAGAGTATCCCTACTTTATGTGTTAGCATAAAAAATAACTTTGCAGGTTTCTTTTGGCAGGAAAACAAACTCTTTTGCATTTTCCTTTTTTTTTTTTTTTATTTTTTTTTATTTACAAAAGAAATGGATAACAGCTGTAGAACTTTAGTACCATTATCCTCTTAGCTAATAATTGTAGGGGATGTTAGGAACTATTGGTAGGAAAAATGCCATTGGTAATGGGTCGTGTACCTACTACAAAATAACAGAGCAAATGGATTCTTGTTTTCAGTTTCTCTAAGCAAAGCATAAAGACAATTCTGTTGAACATAGAATAAATAATAAGCTTCAAGTAACTGACGTTTACTAGTATGTCATAGAATCATTTTTACAGTCATAGCTGAAATTGCATTTGCTAAATTGCTTTCATGAAGCAGGCTTTTCCTTCTGATAGATTCTCTGCTTCTCAAAGTATAATTCATCTTCCTGTAAAAGCACGGATACTAATCTTTAGTCTGTGTTAAGATGACTAGATCTCCCAGTTTTAATTATAAAGTCCTTTATCTTAATCCTCTGCAGAGATGCCCATTTGACCCCATTCCACTTCTTGTTTCATATGCTCTGTGGCACATAATCACCATGTAAAAGAAACAGCACATTGATAAAGGGCTCTGTTCAGAGATGACTTACATTTTGCCTGCTGCCAGATATAATGTAGATTGCAGTAAAAAATCAATAGATTTCTCTTTGTAATTTATATAGCATCATTATTTCTTGAAATAGGTTATCCATTGTGCCACCAAGCAGTCTTTGGCACCAGGACCTTTGAACCAATTGTGGAAATGGAGAAATATTATACTGCAGATTTTGACCTGCCCAGAAGTGGTGTTGGAATCCTTATTGGAAACCTCAATGAAAAATGATCAACAGGAGAAGAAGATAAATAGGACTACCTGCTTTCCTTTAATAGGCACTGTGTTTTTTCTGATAAAAGATATAAGACCAAAGGGCAGCAGGATGCTGTTTTTCTTTTCACAGCTATGCTGTGAAAAGCAAATCTTGAAGGACAAGAAACAGAATTGCACCAATAGAATGAAGAGAGGTGGCACACAAGGACGTCAGATGCTATTCTTTCTTAAGAGCCTTGAGGCAGGCTGTCTGTTTTGTCATTATTTCTAGCCTAGGATTTCACAAGCTACTGCTTCAACTGGGTATTTTCTCTTATTACTTCCATGATCTCCTTGGTAATCACAGCTGGCATCCTTGTTCACTGCCAGGGTACATGCTTGTACTTTTAGGCACTCTCTTCATGTCCTCTGGTTCATGTTTCAGCTGGCACTTGAGCCACCTTCTAGTGATGAGTCTTTTTAGCTGCTATCGTTGAGATACTGATGTTCGTTAATGTACAGGGAGCAAAAACAGCTTCAGTGAGATATTTGAGCTTTCCTGAGGACCTTGCTTGTCTCAGCTGTGGTAGCTCATGATTCACTCAGGTGGGCAGCTGACGCCAATGGCAGTCTCAGCACTGAGGCCTTTGGTATGAAGAAGATAACTCTAAATGCTGCACCCTGGAATCTGTGCTGCAGCCAGCACAGGGGCATCTGGAGGGAAAGTAGGAATTATGATTACAGAGATTAATAGATGTAAAAGCAAGTGACAGCAGGAGAAATCCTTTTGGTTTGCTTTCTGTTTGCACGGTTGGTCTAAATTGGGGAACAACTTTGTAAATAAACAAAAAAACCAAAACAGAGCTTTGAATCATGAAAAGACAGAATTTTGTTGCAACTTCTTGTTTGAAGAAATATTGTCATGGGTAAAACTTTTTTTTTTTTTGAGGCAGATCAGCTTCACTGCAAGTTGCACAGTGGTTAGGGTTTTCCCCCTTGTTAATTGCAGGAAAAAGATTTTTCTTAAACTCTGTGAAATTTCTGGGCTATTTGAATTGGTACATCTAACACCTGACCTGAAAGTACTAGTTAGTTTTGCAGTTTTATAGTGCTGTAGTAGCTGAGGAGGTCAATGATAAAAGGCCTTGAGAAGTGACCTTTTGTTGGAGTCTTACCTGCTTACCTGGCTCTGGTGTAGAAGGGTTACCATCCCTGCACAGTATCTCCCATGGGAGAAGAGCAGTGTCTCAGAGAGCACAGTGCTAACCACTGGTAACTTCTGCCTTTTCATTGTCATTCACTGTAATATTGTATTATTGATTAATGCTCTTGAAAGCCATCCATGCTGGTGTCTTATGTTCTTACTGAAAAACACTTAATATATCAGCCACATCTAGTTGAATAGCAAGAGGAATGAGTGAAATACAATTCATAAGCACTCTCTTTATAGTCATTGACAAAAAGATATATGTCACTGAATGTTGAACCCATCCTGAAGGCATAAAATTTCCAATTTTTTTTTTTTAAATATTTTACTTAATTTCTGCTGGGTATGGTGCTGCTATTAAAGTTCTGGAGAGTCACATGCTTCATTTATTGTAGAGGCCAAAAGTATTCTTTCAATTTAGCTGAGCATTACTATGTCTCAGAATGATTGGTAAATATTATTCTAATAATGTACTAAATCTGCAAGTTGAACTACATAGATGTTCACTGAAATATCAGAATTTCTTTTGAATTCAGTGGTGGAACTATAAATAGAAATTAGCTAATTTTTAAATATTAATGTCAAATAAGTGATGGGGCAGGTACCACTCTTAGGTAAAAAAGCCACTGCAAATTAAATCACAGTATCAAGATAAGGCTGTCACTGTGCAAGTCTCTGCTGCCCTGAAGCTAATGTGCACAATCTGTTTTTGCAAGTGCTTTCATATTTTTGCTCTTTATTATGAACATATACAGCGTGTAAGTATTTTTAGTATTGGCTGACTCTGGTATTTGTAGTCACGATTGTGGTATTTAAACAGGAGATGATCTGTTCTGCACATGGAAAAGGGGCTGTGTTAAAGAGGAAATAATTTTAAAAAACATTGCTATTTTTTGGCAAGAGGATGTTATGTTTATTTCTCAAAGAACATATTCAGTGTTCATTATGTTCATGTACAAACCCATGATGATTTGAACCTGATTTCTATTCCCTACCTCGGAAGCATTATCACTGTGTTAGAAATGCAGGTATGCTATTAAATTGAAAAGTTCTTACATGTATATAGTCTCATCTATTTCAGATTTTATATAACATTGCTTCCCAATTTCACTCTAGGAGCTGTGATTACTTATATTAAATGAGCAATGTCACTTGAATTGTAACTTCCATAAGTAATGGGGATATTTTTATAAAACTTTATCATATTGGTAATATCTGAAATGCATTTGGTATGGTAAAACAGCACATTGCCATTGGTTAAGAAAATTTTGTTCAAAGAATCTGCCTGGTACTGGTTTTTAGAACACATTCCAAGACTTTCTGAAAGTCCTGAAATACAAATATGACATGATTGTGTTATGAAGATGTGTTTGATGAAGTGAAAGCAATGAAGATTTGCGAGGAGTGAGTACTGATGTTATTTCCTGAATAAATTAATAATCAATAAGTTTCTTGATGGAGAGCAAGAGTCAAGGTGAAGGTAAGAGGGACAAAACAAAAGAGTAGAGGTGAGAATTAATCCAAACAGGTCCTAAGGCAAGGAGGAAGTACTTTCTCTCTGGCTGAGATCTTTAGATTTGCTTCTACAGGATATGATGGAATTGCATAAAGACATTACTCTGAGCTTGGTCAAGGCACTGGTTTGACATAATAAAGGAAGCTATCTGCATGTGATCTAAAGATAGGTAAGTAAAAACAATAATCTTTTGGTTTTGTTCAGCCATTTTGGTAACTTCTGTTTCAATTCAGCAACTTTAAGTGAGAAGTATAAGTGCCCTAGGCATAATTTCCTACCAGCAGATGGGTCCTCTGGCAGGGTGGTATGGATATCAGGAGATGTGAAAAGTTAGGTAGGATGATTAGACCCCGAAGGAATCTTAACAATCCCTTTCACTTCTTTCTGCCCATCAATTTCAATAAACAAGTGCACAAAAGCTGTTTGGAAAACAGCCAATTCAAAACAAAACTTTATGTGTCATTGTAGTTATATGAATGCTAAGCAACACCTACAATGAAGCAAACTGTGGAGAAGCTGTTGTGCCTTTTCAGAAACATTTCATAGAGTTCCATTAAAAAGAAGGTAAAACATCTTTGGTAACAAGTCTAGCCTAGAAACTTTCCACAGAAGCTTTCCATGATGGTTTTATTGGAATTTATGTTGAAAAATTCAAAAATCAGCAGAAATTGTGACTTCCATAGGTATAAAGTGACTCAGTGTGATATCATGGTGATAGAACTATGATACCATGGTGAAAAAACACATAGGAACTTCTGTTGCACTTGTGTGAATAGGTGTGCAGAACAAAAAAAAAAAAAAAAAATCTCAATGTCAAAGATGTGATTCTGTCAGAGGTATTACCCCATCTGGCCTGAGATGATGACATAAAATTGTGCAGCATCTCTTGACTTAGTAGGTCTTTCATAGTTGATGCTTTTGGAAGCTGTGTGCCAAACAGAGTATCACTGTCTTTTAGTTCATTCAGTGACAGATGGGGAAGACCTATCACCCTTCCCGTGTGCTGTGGCCCAAGCTTGTCCTGGAGAAGACAGTGAAACGTGTGCACGTTGGCTGTCATGTCACCCCAGGAGGCACAACGCCAAGGCTAGACTGTAATCTTTATCACATGAATATCAGTAATTCCTTTCTCTTCAGTGGAGTTTCGCTGTTGTTGTGAGGAACATCACCTACAATTCCTGACTATTGGAAAGCAACCAGAAATTTGATTTCTATAGATGAAGCAGTAGTTTAAAACAACAGATTCACTAAGCTGTTGAATATCAGCAGAAAGCTTTATATATAAGCCTAAGTCTTATGGCTTTAAACTTTATAATTTTAATGTAGCCTTATTTTTAAAACAGAACTCATTCATGTTACTGCTGTGTAGTAATGTTTTACAGGCATTGTTAATTCTTATCCAGGACTACAAATATGCCTAAGAATGAAATGGAAATAGATGTTATGGTATTAATTTAGGTATTTTTGGAAAACATCAAAGTCATATAACTTTATGACTAATGATTTAATTTAATTATACAGTTCTGCATTTTCATGTTTAAAGAAATCTGCAAACAATGACTAATTAATCCTTGCAGCAGTGCTTTAAAATAGTTAGATAGACGTAATTAATTCCATCTAACCAATTCCTTGCCCAAGGCAATACATTGAATCAATATTTAAACTAAGATTAGAGGTCATTCTTACTCTTCAGTCATTTCTCTAAAGTAGTAGTTCCCAAGTTTCCTTGCTGTGATAGTTTAGATGGATATATGCTTTGGCCTGTGCCGGATCTTCAGTCTCTATCTTCTACCTCTCTGTCAAAATGCTTCCTGTCCCTCTTCCCCTCAAAAATTACTTCCACTACAGTCAGACCACATGTGGAATGGCCTACTTTTCACGTCCAGAATCCCATACCTGGCTTTTTCTTGCTTATTCATATCCTGCTTTAACCAACTCCCTGCACCCAGAGTCCTCCTCCCACATGTTTCCTGTCTTGCAGGTGCCATTGCCCCTCTCTGGTGGATCCTTGCTTCTGTGCTTGGCGTGCACATAGCATCCACTAGTGAAATACCATCTATTCCCCTGCTCCTGGCTCTCCCAGAAGCCATGAGGAAGCTCTGCTGGTGTAGCTGCTTTTCTCTTCTAGCTGGCTCACTCTTGTATGGTGGGCAGAGAGAAGATTGAAGGTAAGCCTTGCACCATTAAATAGCACACACTGTTCTCATAGGCCATGGCCCATACCAAGGTGCAGACTGCAGCTGATGTATCTGTTGCTCTAGGTGGAGGGTCCCGAAAGGCTTTGCAGCACACTGTGAGTCACAAAAGCAGTTTATAGGGTCAAGGGCAGGCATTGTCATTCAGTTAATATTGATGTCCAAGGAAGTTTATGAGTGTGGAACCAAAGAGAATCTTATATAGTAAAAAAGAATACTACTTGCCTTAAAAATAGACTAGTGATAGTATTGACTGGAGTGAGGCAGTTCTGAGCACCATGGTGACCAGCAGGGATTGCAAAATGACAATAGTTTTCTGTGGCAGACTGTGATAATATCCTGATTTGACAGAAGAAACTAATTCTGCATTGCGTGCAGTGATGGATGTGGTACAAGAAAGGAGAGGATAAAACAATAGAAAAGAAGATTCCCATCTCATGTCATCAAAGATTGGCACAAAACCCTGAGAAATAGTGCCAGAACCTGGACTTCCCACTGTGGTGGTGTTTATGATCTGGTCAATCTTATTTGGCTATAGCTTTTGTTATCTGGTAGGAAATAAGAGTTAATGTGCTGTATCCTGTAACTTTAGATAATAAAGCCATGTTTGTATTTGTCTTTTGATGTAATATGTCAGACTAGAAAAAGTATTCACAGATACTGTAGGGAGTCTGCTACCCAACAAATTACTGAAGGGACCAGAAGTATTCCTGCCAAACATGACCTGCCAAACATTTTTGGACCCGTCATCTCCTTTACTTTATAGAAAATGTTACATCTTCATGTAACCGCAGGAGACAAGTGAAGAGGATACACAGAGAACCTGAAATTCACAGTAGCTAAGGAAATATTCTAAACCTGATGCACTATTGCAAAAACTCTGATTTCTCTCAGCATTCCTAAAAGTGTCATTTTCTATGGGTGAGACTGCATAGTTATATCTTCTGCTTGTTCCATTTCCTTTAGAAAAATGATGCTCTGCCCCTTACTTTCAGGGTCTCTGCAGCTGACTGAAAGGGCAGATATCTTCCTAAAATAGGCAGTCTGACTCAAACACAAATTGACTGAGCTACAACTACATAGAATTTTATGTGGTGCAGAAGGTCAGATAGATGATCGTAATTTTCCTGCTTGGCTTTAGATCACTGGATTTACTTAGGTACCAAGTCTCTCCATTCAGCATGATTCAAGAGAGTAAATCCAGATCTCTATAAAATAGGAATTGTCCATTCAACCAAATGGAGAATGGCTGATCATAGACATATGGCAAATTCATTTTTTGCAGGCTGTTGATAATCTCAAAGAACATGTAGTAACAGAACAAATCAACATGATGGTGGAGGTTCCCCCGCCACCCACAATGGGTGATATTTTGGGGCATATAAACAGGACTAAGTTACAATAACACATCGCTTTCAATCTGAGTAATTTTCACTGAAATCCAGGATGACTGGATGCATCTGGTTCTTTCTGGTTTAAAATTATTATATACTGCAAATACATGAAGGAGAAGGCAAATCACTTAAGGACTTGTCTTGGAGGAAGTATCTTAGTGAAAATATGAATGACTGTCAGTTTCTTGACATAGTTCAAATGTTAAATGACAGGTAACCTGAGATCACCCAAACTGGTTGGCAAACCTTTATTGTATGATGCTGTTAATGAAATCCTGCTTCTTGACAACTGAATTTTTTTCTTCGCAGTGATTTTTAAGGTTGCTGTTCTGATATTTTCTCTTGCACTTACATGATTCTACAAGTGCATTTATATGAAAAAAGTAGTGGCGAAGATTTGTTGTATAAAATCTTGAAGGAAATTTTCTTTTAGTTTAGGAGCATATTATTTTGATTTCTGGAATTAAGGACCTGAGAGCAAGTGATAAACACAAGGCTAAAACCTCACCCCACTGAAACATTACCAGGTACTGTAGTGAACAGAATCCTTTAATATGATGACTGCTGAGATATATTTGGATTTCTCTGTCTCTCTTGAATGGAGAGGAGAAAATGAAATGGTGACTTTTCATTATGCAAATTTTGCAGGCAGTTTACTGTGTTTAATGAACTCTTACAGCATATGCAGATGAACACTTCCCACTCTCTTGCCACAGATCTGGCACACAGTAATCACGTTTTGTGTTTCTGTGCTATATAATGGCTACTTCTGCCCACAGAAACACAGCCCTCAAAACTGAAACAGAGGTCTCTAAAGACTTCACTTTGCCAAAGGTTAGAACTCTCTCTACCTCTCAGGTCAGGGCATGAGGGACTGACTGGTGATGTCTTCTCAGCTTTAAATCAAGCCAAAGGCTAGGTGGTAAGTAATAAATTCTGCTGCCCTTTCTGTCCTACAACAAAGTCCAAGGAAGACCATTTTATTATTACCATTTTGTGTAGGCTTTTTTCTTCAGAGTCACTGAAGTCATGGAGCTTTGAGCTCCATCTGACCAGAGTGACTTTGCCAGTGTCCTGTTGGAATTGAGGTAGTCCTACTGTACCATTTCAGGTAGAACAAAGCCTATTGAGCAGTTTTGGTATAATTCAGCTCATTGCAGAGAAGACATATCCATCTATAGGGTGACTCTTAAGGTCAGCTATGCATAACCACAGACTTTCGCAGATCTCCTTTTTGCTTCTCACGTTAGACATAGTACTTCCATTCCTTCCTTTTCTCTCTTTGTTAATACATTATTGTGTCTACATTTGTGTGTTGATGAATATTAGTTATTCAGAGCCTGTAGATGGCTGCACGATGACTTTCTGTCTCTTAGCTTAAGAAGTACTGGTGCTGCTCAGGTTACATCAGAGTATGAGCAAGAAACTTTCTGATCAAGTCCGTGGCTAGTCTGCCAGGTGGTACATTATTATGCTGGGGACTATTTTTCTCCATTTATACTACTAGTCCCATCTTCATTTTGGGACTGGTATTTGGACAGGTCTTTGAAAATGTTTTAACTATCCTACCATTACTTGGAAACAAAAGTGAACTTTCTAACAACTGAAATATCTTTCACAGTGACAAATTGTTCATATCTATCTATCTATCTATCTATCTATCTGTCTATCTATCTACATTTATATCATATATAATAGCTACGTGTATACCTTATGCATAAAATAGTTATGCATGTACATCCACATATATATAAAGTGCATACACTGGCATTGCCTCCAACAGTAACATACTTCAGCTGTGATCCAGACAAAACTGTAAAAGTATTTTAAGGAATGGTTCAATGGATCTAAGTTGCCAGTCTTGAGAATTGCTAAGCATGTATGCTTAATACACTGTAGAGCTCAGACTCTTTAATTATCTTAAGTTCAATTTATAAAAGTGAGAATACCTTATGCCAGTAGACACTTGCAAGTTTAGTTCTCACAGATCTGCTAGATTTTGCAGTCAGCAGCTTTGCAGATGAAGCTGTTCAAAGTCCAGATTTTCAGGGAAGCTCCTCCCTCTCTTAAAAGAAATCATCAGCTCTGTGTTGGGTTGGGCGGCAGTTAGATCAGCTCCCCAAACCTCTGCCTGATCATGCTACTCCAGTGTAAAACCAGGTAGAATCATGTAACAAAGCTTAAGAAAGAGATATAACGCCTAGGTGGCTACAGGGCTATTGTCTTCTGTGCCTAAGAACAGCTTGTCTTTCTGTTGATTTTGCCCCCAGCCTGTTTGTTTTCACCTGCAGAACAGTGCAAGTAGATACCATAAGATAATAAGCATGTAACAAACTGCAGAAGTGACGTAAGAAATAAATTAGATCAATGCTGCATACCTTTATTTTTCTGTGAATCACCTTCAGCTCAGCCTGACTAGAAGTTCTTTAACAGTACCTGGCCACCTCTTCCCCCATAAGCCTGGGAAGACCTGTGTTTCTCCACTCTACTGGAGGTTTTGAATCTAAGCATTGCCTCTATGCATACTATAATCATGCCAGAGACTTACCTGCGGAAAACCAAAGGCAGAAATTCCTTTAGTCAAGATGATTTTTTAAACTTTTGCTCCCAGTCCTTGCAAAACTACATGATATTTAGTGATCCAACAAGTCCATAGCCCCTGCCCAGGAAATAAAATGGTAGTATATTCTTATCAGGGATGAAAGTATATTCTTATCAGGACATTGACATACTGGAGAAGAAGTTGAACAAAATGGGGATATTGTGTAACAATGAACTAAATCAAGCTGAGTTGCCCAACCTACAATTTCACTTCACTTCCATGTGAAGTTTTCAGAATTTGTTTAGCAGCTTTGAATTTGTCTGCTGTTCTAGGGGGAATTAGAATTGTTAGGCATTTTTATAGCTATTTGCTTCTCCAGGAGCAACATAAGTCAGTTTATGTTTTTCATAAATTTAAAATACCGTTGTCCATCTGTTTTCTTCAGCAGTGATGGCTTTAAAGAAGCCCACTAGAGGGCAAGCTGACAGCTGTAAGCCATCTGATATTTTGGGATTTCAGTCCTCCAGATGCTGAGGTTAATGAGAAATTATTAGCTCAACTCATGCTAAAATAAACGTTAAAAATCCATTAGCTTCCTCAAAATCTTAAAACTTCCCCAAAGCCCTAAAATATGGAAAAGAAGCTATTTAATTTAAGATTCTATGAATTACTGTTAAATGTAATTTAAAAATTATATATATATTGTTGATCAGTTTTATAGAACAAGAATATACAAGTATCACATCACATGTCCTTCTTAAATTGTCTGGAGTTCTCTAATGTAAATAAATGGCAGATCTTAGCAATTCTCTTATAGTTAAATAATGTATTTCAACATTCATGCAACATATTATATATATACACACACACACATCTATTCATGCCTACAAATACATTTACCTCTACATTAACAGTATAGATGGAGTGCTGACAAACATTTAAAAGCTGAATTTGATTCCTAATACTATTTTATTGTTCCCTAGATCTTCAAAAAGCGCTTTAAAAACTACCTAATACAGTACTACAGCCAGAGGCTTAGGGCTTGTTCAATGCCATAAACAAAGCCACAGTGGTCCTGGTCAGTGCTTGAAAGAGAGGCCTCACAGGCAATAAGGGAGTCTGTGGTATGCGTGTATTTTTTGCTTTTAATCCTGCTACTCCTTCAGTTTCCCGCAGAAGTTCTTGTATTTCAGTTTGTTCTCATCAGGAAACTTTGTTTCCTTTTCTCCTTGTATTTTGAAAAGAAAATTGTATACAAACAGTTGGAAAAATCCTGCATTACCAGCTGGTATTTTATTCTAAACACTACATGCATAAGGCTTCAAAGGAAATAATAAGCAGTGTTTATAATAAAGTCTTTAGCATTTGGCTCATTATTTAAAGGATACTATGGATAACATCTCAATTACCAAGTTACTGTCCCCTCAGCCTGGATCCTTTTCCCTCTAATTTTGTCCCACATGTGCACGTAGCTGCGATAACACTTTTTTGTTATACTTATACAGTATTCTTTGCTTTACAAGTCCCTAAACAGACTTCATGAGGCATACAGCACATTGATATAGTAAAGGGGTTTCCTCCAGCAAGAATTGTGCATTAAGCCTTGGAAAAAATAAGACTTCCAGCAAAACTTGGAGGCTTCCTCCTAGTGGAACACCCTAAAACTTTGAGCTCTTCTTG